AATGCCGAATGTGTGGAGCCGTCTTAAGAATCGAAAAACGTGTCGGAACTTTAAATACAGTAGGCCGGTTATGTGAGCCTTATGGCTTATCAGTTTTTTGTCTGAAGACGATCTCATTCATTAAAATGAATGAGTTCTCAACAGTCAACATTCTTAGCGCCTCTCCCAAAATTATTTCTAGTGAAAGAAGAAGGAAATTTCCTCCTTTTACGTATCAGCTGAAGTATTTATGAAAGGATATTTTCGCGGACGGAAATCGTTTCTTGTCCATTCTTGGTTAAGAATGCATACGAATGCGTGTAAAGCCAATGAACTACCTGGCTCGCCTCGTGAGAAATTTTGTCTTGACTTCTTACTCTCGAAAATCCAAATCTAAATAATACATTTCATTAAAAATAATCGCGAAAGATGTAGTTTTTTGTGGAAAAAAGTATGCTAGCCGTTTTAAAATGAGCTATATTGAGTTTTATTATGTTAATGTCTCGTTTTATGCATTTCGCCAAACACAACATGTCAGATTTCCAAGAACATCAATCAGTGTTGCCATCATGTGAAGCCCCCCACCCCACAGTGATGAGCGAATGGGTCAGTCGACGGGGACGTTTTGGCTTGTATCAAGTCTGTTTTCTCCTTCAGAAATGCTTAAAATGCAGTTTTTTGATGGTGTGTGTCATCTGTGTGTGTCATCTCATGTCTCAATTTTTGTTTGTTCAAAGTAGTATATTGAATAAAATTTTAAATAATGAAGACTAATGAAGCAAGAAGAGAAGGTGAGAAGTAATTTCGGAGGTTTAAAAAAATAGAATACGAATTAAAATTTCAATGACCTAGACGTCGGAATTGAATCCTGACATTGTTAATTAAGTCGGGTGTTTTAAACACAGTCTGACATGTTACTTCATAACTATTTTAGTTGTCCGGAACTATTTTAGCTATTTCGTCGCATTTCAACCCTGCCTCATTTAGAAGTTTACTTTCACAATGCGATAATAGTTATGTCAAGCTTGTGAAATCTATGAATTACGTATTGACAATGAATTAAAAATGTGGCAACGAATAGATTTAAATTTGAAATGAATGGGTGAAAGGATGCAACCCTCGATCTTCCATACATAATTAACAGAAGATTATTATATTACACTGCTGATGAACAACCGAACATTTTATTATTATTCTTCCTTTGCCTGTACTCGTTATGAGGTCGGCGCTAATGGGTGCGGGCTAATTTTTAATTAATGATCGAAAATACGAGGTACAAATTGAAATATAGTGCAGAAGGGCCTCGCGCTGTTCTCAACACACAGTATAGGAGCTAGTAAGATGTAAAGAAAAATCCGAGAAGCACATTTTCGCCGGCTTTACTGGTAGTTGCTAAAAACCCTAGCTCGAAAGAATATCGCAGAGAAGAGTACCTGTTCCTGCTACCTACCGTCCGCTTTTGAGGAATCGCTCCGGCCTGTCGACCTCTGACTCGTTCGTGTAGTCTGTGCGAGTTTGAGTGACGTCGCTTCTGAGAACGCTGCTCGCGGCTCCATGAACTGTTCCGTCACCGCACTCGCCATGTACACTGACGCCGTCCCTCCCCCTCCACTGCCGTTCGATAAGGCGTATCGGCAGCGCATCGCACCTGGATGAGCGCTGCACGCGCTCCGCGGGCGCGTGACCCCCCCCCCTCTCCCACCTAGCCGCAAGCGCCCACTCCGCACACGACGGCAGCGAGAGGCAGCGGGATGGCGAAAAAACTGGTGGTGCTACAGAACGGCACGGACTTTCCCGTATTAGTGTTCTATATCCTTGTATCTCGGCTAGCTATTCTGACGGGTAGCACCATTCTCTTGCCAGCTGCCATTTACCGCCGCACAAAGTACATTTTTGTGAAATTTTCTTAATATTTCGGTTTCCTAATATTGAAACCGAAATTATATTTTAAGAACATTAAATAACAGAAAAACATCCTCCTAAATGGCAATATTTTTCGAAAAATTTGGAGCCTTTTTTAAAAACTGGCATTTAAGTACTAGTGTAAATTCGAAATATGAAGCTATTTTCACATAAAATGTTTAAGTTTTCGAAAACCTTCATTTGAAGACGCTTGAAGCACTTTTACAATACTTTACAATAGTGTTTACAAATTGCTAGAAATGTGCATATTAACGAAGGCGTGATAGATCTTTCAAACAATTACACCTGTGTAAGTTTTGAAATAAAATATCCCAAAATGCACTTTACATCATATTAAAGAGTACAATCAGCACTATTCGCTCGAATAGTTTGAAGAAAAAATTGGAACAGTTTTTGAGAAAAGTTTGAAAACGTATGGAAGCTTCATGTAAAGTATCCCCAAATTTTGAAGAACGTTTTTTAAAATAGTGGAGCTAGGTCGGCCGAGGAATACGCTTTTACGAAAATATTCTACTTATTGTTCAGGCTGTAGTGGTGTTCACGGTCGGTCGGTCGGTCGGTCATTTTGAAAGAAAACACAAAACTTTTTTGAGAAACTTTTATCACGAGAACCCAAAACGTGTATTTACATTGCAATCTCGAAATCTATTTTCTGCAGCCTTCCATAACTTTCCCTATACTACGAGTATTACTTCACATGTACGTACGTATACGGGAAAGTAAAAAAACAATGTTATAAAACATCAAAATTTAATACCAGAAACAACGATATATTGACAATGATATTTTGTTTTCGATGTTGGGCTTTGTTTTTTAGATTGATATATTTTTACAGAAGCATCGATGTTCTCATAAAAGTTAATGTTAGCATTTTCGATGATTTGATATGTGGTAACATCGTTTAAATGCGTTTTGACATTTGTCTGTGTAGAATATTGATGAGAAAATTAAGATGACACAGTGCCTTAAGGCAGAATATACTTTAAAATGTTTACATATTATATACTAAGTACGCATTATATACTAACATTTATGAATATTAGATACAAGATGTTTTACTTGGATGATTTATGAAAGTGAATAAATGGGATAATAGCGAAACACGATGTCCTTTCCTTTTTACTTTCTCTTTACTTACTATACTGACTAATATACGTAGTATAGGGAAAGTTATGTAATACTGCGGACAATCGATTTCGAGATTTCAACGGAAATACACGTTTTTGGGTACCCAGATACCGAAAACATTTGTTTCATAAGTCCGCTAGTCAGTCAGGCTGTGGACATCATTAGCGACTAAACCATACGTACGATTGTCTCCAAAATTGATATTCCCGGTCGATATGACCCCACTAGAAGCGCCGCGATTTTGAAAATCGTTCTTGAAAATTTGGTAGTTCTTTACATGAAGCCTTTCGGACATTTTCAAAATTTCCTCAAAATCTGCTCCAAATTTTTTCTTTAAATTTCTTGTAAGAGTAGAGTAAAATATACTTATAAAGGTAACTGATTTTTCCCTCCCTCACTGAATGCACCAGATGTCTCCAAACAATTCCAAGGCGATTATGGATTTAACCATCGGGAAGAGAAGAGTTATTTGACAAAAAACAGCTTATCATCGACAACGGTTAAGGAGAAACTTTGGGTAGGCTCTATCACAGTCCCAGCAGGATACGTGAAAGGTCTTTGGAGTGCTGCAGAGGGATTGCCCAATGACGTAACCGAATACTACACGATTTCCATTTCATTTCCGTCCTCTCTTGCTTTGCAAACCTTGCTTACTGCGCTTATGTTACAGCTAGTCTTACGTTGTAATAGAACAATCGTCCTGGCTCCCTGTTGGTAATGAGTCCGTTTGTTTTGCAAGCTCGCTCTCCTGTTACCATGATTACTCCGCGCGCGACACGAAACCTATATTTTACTGCGCGTCATGCGTTGTGCAGCAATGGCGCCATGTGCACTCGTGAAACCTGCACCATCGAGTATTATACCCGCATGTTTTCTTCAGCCCTAGAGTATCAACCCTCACTCCTTTACTAACATTAGTTGGATTCAGAATAAATAGCAGGAACGCGCGTTCTTGATAAATCTGGTATCAGAAATATTCGCTCCGACGTAATAGAAACTTAATTTGCATTGTAAAACGAGCAACAGATTTGAGACAATAGTCCTGTCGACAAAAGAATCAAACCTTCCACTCTTCCCGCATCTAGAGAATCGAGGGCTTAAGAAAATGTGCGCTGGTAGTAATGGTTTCTTTCTTTTTCTTCGTCCTAATTCCCAAGTCGGTGCTGAGGATAGGAAAGTCCCAAGATATAAACGAAATCAATGTTTAATGTTTTAGCCACTTATCTTGTTAAGCAAGCGGCTGTCTTCTGCGCAAAATGAAAGAAGTTTCACGTCGTAGGGTGGGCTAGTATTGGCACCTGCCTGAGTCTCTTCACGCCACGTTTTAAGTGAAAGTCAATGCAGAGGCGCTGTAGCCGAGGAAGTGTACAATTTGCAATTACAATCTATTAAGGATTATAACTCGACATGAGCACCAATTTTAATGTGATAGATTATAATGTGTCTGACAAAATGAGTTCAATCAAAGAGATATTAGTGTTCGGATTGCTGCATTTCGCGGAACTGTAGCAATCTTAACCCTGAGCGCGTGACTTACATTTAGCTTCTATTGCATCACTCGTGAAGCAACAACGGTACTTTCTCCGCATGCACCATATTCTTGATCGAGTAATGGCATCTTTCGTCTGCAAAGGATACCAAATTAAGGGATTTAGGTTGTACGGTTTCACAGATTTAAAAACTATTAGTTCATCTTTTCGTTCTAACGAAATTTCATGCTGACTTTACATGATGTTCTATGAAACACCTAACTCATCTGTTTCAAGAGGCGGCAAAAATATCGGAACTACTTTGGGATGAACGAAATTTTGACTTCATCAGTTACAACGTGCGCATTGGAAACAGCTACCCACGTCCAACCTTGTCACTAACTTAATCGGCCCCATCGTCTCCTGCTCTACGCTCTACGTCGCGCATCCGCGTCTGTGCGACCGCCTTCGCCTCCGCCGCGACCTCTGCCGCCAGCTCAGCGGTTGCGCAGTGCCTGCAGCGCTCCGCGTCGTTCCGTGCCGTGCCGTGCCGCGCCGAGACGTGGAAGACTCGTGCCGCGGGCCCGGCCGCCATGGCGGCTCTCGACTGGTTGCGCACGGCGCCCCGCGACGCGACCTTTCCGTGCTTGCGGCCGCTCGCCAGCCACGCCCCCGCTCGCTGGCCGCTGCGGCCAACGAAGGAGACGAGCAGGGGCGCGACGGACCACAAAGTGCATTTCGGTTTGAGCCATGATCGTCGCAATTAGAAGTAGAAATAGATGCCTTCACCCGTTGCAGGGACGACATGTTTCATTATCTTTTACTTTTGTTGTACAGGTGTGGATATGTACTGGATTCTTAAGTTGTATGTGTGTGTGTCAGTTTTTTCGGTATTCTCGATTTTCACACTGATGTAGTTCCTAATTCCCGTCGGATATCTTTATTTCTCGTATGATCTTCTGGTTTGTAACCTGCCAAATGTCGTAAGAGACCCATTTTTGCTACTCCTTTTCTTTCCAAATCTCTCTTTGCGAGGGCCCATCTCTCTCAACCATATCGAAATGACGGTGCACCTAGCACTTTAAAACCTACAATAACAATATCTCTACCTTTGCACAGTTTCTTTTAAAAATTATTGAAATCATAATATGAAATCACACCCGAAATAATTAAAACGGGTAACTTGTTCTACAGGTTAATTAGTAATTATAATTTTGCTCTTCCTGTTTCCTTTTCTGAGATGGCTAGTACCGTTGTTTTGGTTATTGGCATCTTCATATTGTGTGACTAGGTACTTGGGAAAATATTTTTTTTTCAAGAGTCGTCAGAATTCTCTACTATTGACAGACCATCTACAAATTCGAGATTAACATTTTATCTTGAACTAGTAAGGGAAGTATTGTTTAATTTTGTTGTCAAAGAATCATTATGACATTAATGTAATTATTCAAAAGAGAAATCGAAGAGGAAAGAAAAGGAAAAGTCAAGAGTAAGAGATGGAAGTCGTGAAAACAGAATGGTCCGAGAAATTAGAGACGAAACGAGGGAAATAGTAATGAATAAATGATAAAACATTTCCTTTTTCTTTTATTATTAATTACTATTATTACTATTATTATTATTAATGCTACAAGAAGCTTTCGATTTATGATGTTCTTAATGTGAAGTTTACACGTAAAAACACGTAATAAATTAATTTGAACCTTCGTCGTTCTCACCGCTTTCATTTAACATTCTATACTTGTTAGTGTATCATCGACCAAAGGAATTGGTAATTTTTTTTGAACACTGAAATTTGAAAACATCAAGAAATATTTGCGATTCGCGGCAGGCTCGACATGTATCAGGAAGAACCTTGGAGAGCTTCTCACAAAGTTCTTCTCAGCCTCGTCCGAGATGCGTCACGAAACCACACTGATGAGGTTCTCTCGTTTGAGCACCGTTGTTTACGAAATCATTTTCAGATGTGCGAATAGACACAGTCGTCTTCAGTCCTCAGTAGTTTTTTTTCTTTAGAAATCTGATATCCCAATTAGTGAATAATGATTACAATAAGAAATCTCTAAAGTGTTTGAAGTGTCACAACTGATTTGTTGGTGTGTTACTCATCGTGTACTGGAGATAAAATGTAATTAATCAGCAATAAATAAAATTTAAGTGCTTACAGTTCTTTCAGAATATGATCTTATTAATAAATATTCAAAGAAAAAAGCCTATTACTGTTTGCTATCTATTCTGAGCTGTGGAATCAGGCCGAAAAAACTTCTAGCACAATATGATCAGATATCTATCAATGTTTCATTAAAACATTCGCCAATATCTGAAATCTTATCATGCAGTAAACTGGTTAGCCTAAATTTGGCCTACAATCTTATACTTGGTCGATTCTCTTGGAAGTTTTTCAAAGACAAATAAGCATTTGAAAGCCTGATGAAATGGGGACGAGCGCTTCTTCTCGCGCGTGATTGTCGTTAATGCGAGGGTGACGTAAACGGCGATGTGCCTTTCCTTGTGCGGAAGAAGTAAATGCGAATGGTTTGGGTGGCGGATTATCTCTCTGCCTTTAAAACCCTCCTACGCACGTACTCTGCAAGTGCGCCATTTGCCATATCGTTTATCTCGCCTCCTAATGGACTTCGTCGTTAAATTACTGTAACATTCACTTAATGTTTCCACAGTCTCAAGGTAGTGAGAATGTAAGGGGAGAATAGAAGGATGCGGGTGTAAGTCATGCGTTCACTTCGCAACAAGAGCCGATTTTTCCATCAGGAGCATCATCTCCGTCTCCAACATTGCCCTCGTTTATCTTCGCTCTTTTAGGTTCTACACATTTCGGTTAGTTTTTAGATTTAGATTTATTCAGTAAAAAAAAAACAGTAAAACTGTATGTGACGTAGGGGGGGGATTATCTGCGCACGTTTTCTTGAGTTCCAGAATCCATTCCCGTCATTTTAACTATAAATAGTTGAAAGATGAATAAAAGTTTAAAATAAATAAATAAAAATACATTTTAAAAATCGCAAGATTAGCAATATTTGAAAAATAGTCATTTTCGTGTCTGAGTTATAGAAAACTTATTTGCATCGGTACACGAATTGCGAGTATAATTTTTCTGCATTGCTAACAGAATAGCAACTCGCCCTTACCTCTGTTCTAACCATTACAAGCAAAAGGAGAGTTCAACAAAACGTGCGCAGAGTGAAGGTAGTTTGCAAATGTTTCACGTCAGTTGTACTGCATTCGCGTTCTGATTCTTTGTTTCGTTTCTCTTTGGTGAGAAAACTAACACTAAAGCGTTTCACAAACAATACAGTGAGTCATGTTGTGACGTTTTCATTCTGCGGTTGTATAACAACAGCAGAAAGAACAAAAATAGCAAGTTCAAATCGTAACAGGCAATAACAGTTTTACGTTTTTGTATATTGGTTCTCAATAGACATCCTTGAGTGTAAATCCAGTAGTCTCTAGTATTATAGTTCGATTTTATGTAATCTAATGATCAAGGACATTATTTTCTGAGTTGTAATAATCATAATTTAATTATTAAATGTTTCTCCGTCTACACTGCGAAGTAAATTTCAAAGTCGAAAGTTTTTAATAAAATTAGCTCTATAGCTTGCAGTGTTCTCAGCAGGAATTACTCTACCAACCCGGTACAGACTCTAAAAACTAAATATTAAGTTAGTCACCTTTCCTGGGTTGGTTCATCCGTTCGATTTATCGAATTCTTTGATCAATGCTAAAAGTTCTTTGAAATTATATCAGTCACGCTATTTATATTATAAATAGTGCTTCCACCTTTTCTTCCTATACTCACTAGATATAAAATGATGCACGAATATGTCATAATTCCAGAGGATATTGCAAGTGTGTATCCTATCTCGTCATACTGGATTAAGTAAATGCAAGATTAAACTACGTGATTGTTGCAGTGTTGATAGGTGTGTCACTAAGTAAAACGTCCTAGAGATCTACGCCTCATTTCTAGATTTTTTTAAATTCATATTTCTGCAAAACACACCCTGGAGGGAAACTTGGTTATTCCCCGAGCAGTGACAAAAATGCCTATGAATTTACTCAACCCATAGGCATAAATGTGTCTTGTCGAGAGAAATTCCTCGTGCTTCCCGTCACAGAACAGAATTTGTCTTCCCACTGCGCATTATCTTCTTGTACTCTCTGACTTGCTGCTCTACCTAAAAAATACAGCAGTTTTGTTCTGCTAACTCAAATTCGCTGTTTCTTAGCATAGCTGTACCTGTAATTCATAATAGAAAGTAGAGCTTAGCTTGACAGAGATTGCAAGATCGGCATCCTCTGTTGAACGCGCACTGCGTTATCTCGGCCAGCATTGTTGACGGCTCACCCACAGGAAGGACCCGACCTAGAGTTACTTCCGCTGAAAAGAAAAGTTCCACCGACTTGCTTCACTATCATTACCAATGGTTTCAAATAACTGGTAAAGTATAAAATTATGACTGTTCAAATAATGGAAGGAGGACCAAAGTTGCTTCTGGACACTATTTTTCTATGTGGTTGAAGTACTCAATAGAATAAACTTATCTTTACGAGTGAAACAATTAAAATGACGATTTATTTTTCTTCTGTTGAAGAACAGCACAATTTCATGGAGACTTGTGTACTTGATAAGTTAATTTTTTTGTTTTGTGCCAACGTAAACATGTTAAATCTGTGCGTCCTGCCGACTATTATTTCATCGCTTTCACTTCATCACTTTTATATGACGTTCTATTAAATTGTTATTTCTTTTCCTTTTCTATTATTTGCAGATTTATAAATAAAGACAACTTGCCACTATCATTTAAAGTTTTCTTAAAATACATTATTTGAAACATCGCGGAAATCCACAACATTTTGAAGTATTCTATGCTCACCATCATTTGACACTGCAATATTTTCGACCACGAACATCAGTCTTCACTATGAAATGCTTCTGAATAATTGACTATTGATTGTTTAGTGATTTCGGGCACGTCAACTACCAGGGTTATTAGTCCCGTAAGTGTAATGCATGTTTTTTGCTCGTAAGGTGGCGGTGATCTTTCCTCCGCTTCGGCTTTCGGCAGCGGGGTTTTCCCCAAATAGGTATTTCTCACCAGCGGGGCACCGCCCCAGTCGAGACAAGCTCTTAGCTCTTGACAGGTCTCCCGGCATGTATGGCAGTCTAGTGTGTGTAATGGTTGAGGCTAGGAGAAGGAAGAGGAAGGTGAAATTGCGCGCGGTCCGTGGCCCGTTTGTTAGGGTACTGTTCCGACATTCGCATGGTGTTGATCGGAGAAACTACGGTAACTACCAATCAGAGATAGAATTCTCCTCCAGACAGCGACTGAATTCGACCTAGCTGACAAGCTAGTTGATATTATCAGTTGATAGCCCTGAGCCATCTCTCCCAGTGCTCGTGAATAATCACTCTTTCGTAAACCATATCAGCATTCATCCGCTTTCATCAAATTTTAGTTTGAAATTAAAGTTGTTTTTTATTGGTGTAGTATTCTTAATTTTATGGTTTCTTTTATATTGCCTTCTAAAAACGAAGTAATTCGAAGGTTTGTCGAAAATTACAGAACGCAGTATATTCATACGTTAACAGCATTCCAGAGATGATTGTTCGGGGGAAATGCAATGGCGACAGACCTCATCCAGCAGAACAACTGCCAGAAGGCGGGCGATCGGAAGATGAGACGTCCAGCGTGTTGCACGGAGGAGGGATGTTGCCCCCTTTGAACCACATCCTCAGGGAGATAGA